CTGCTGGTCCCTCTCTTATTTATTTTTGTGACTTCATTACATAGTACAGTGCCAGGTGTAAAGTATGATATGAATAAAAGTTTGTAGAGTGACTAACGAGTAAATGAATGAAGATGTACAAATTTGTGAAGTGAGATAACAGTGTCTTCATCATAAAAATGCAATAAGGTATCTAAAATTATACTAACAATAGTCCCCAGTGGAAGATTGTGAGTGGGAATCTTTTAAAGATTGCACAATGCCTTGTAATTTCTTCTGTTGCAAATACATAGATACTTCTGAAATACCTGAGGATGTCTTAAAACATTTCTTTCAAAAATTTTAGCTTTTATTACATGAATCTTATTTATATTGCTTGTTCTAAACCATTTCTTTATAGATTAGTCTATTGTAGTTTCTTAGTATGATATGTCTTTTTTTTTTTTTTTGGGTGGGGGGAAGTTTTTTGCTGTAGGGCGTGTGCACTCGCCAGACAGACAGACAGACAGAGAGAGAAAGCGAGAAATCACCCCCGAGGGGGGATGGCCACGCCGCAGTTCCTTCTCCTCCATTCTCCTCTCGGGATCTTGGGCACACATGCACATGCGCCCGGTGTGAGTTTAAGCCACCGGGTCTGGGACTTGAACCACGATTGACTACATGGGTTACTGCTGGTCCCCTTAGTATGATATATCTTGTAAAACATTATTTTTTTAGTGATCTTGTATCCTAATTGAGAATAGAAGGAAGCTTGGAAATAAGGCAGGGAAGAGATCTCTAATGATGAAGAAAGGAAAGGAAATCTACTTTGAGCAATAATAAAAATAGCAAACAAGAACCAAAGGCTTGACTCTGACAGCTAAGAGGAGTGATTAATAATTGATAAACTGAAAGGAAAGGCATCTGGTTATTGAGTTCTGTAAGAGTCCCAGATTGAAGGCTAAATGTGGAAATCATAGCAATCAAAAGACAAGAAAGTGGACCATAAGAACTGTGGGAAAGAAAGGTGAGATTGACAGCAGTGGGATAGCAACTGAGATGGTTAAATATGGAGAGGCCTGAAGCAGGTGCCGTCCCACAGAAAATTCAGCATTAAAAGAAGTGAAAATAGCAGCAAAAACAGATAATCATTGATAGTATCTATCATGGTTATGATTTATAGTATCGTATTATACACCACCTGAGAGAGTGATATCTCACTCCTCTGTTGAAGTTGTGGTATTGGGTCTAGGAAAGGCATCTATGGCGCTGCAGTAGCCCTCACAGTGCAACCTTTGAATGCTAGATACTCATTTTTAGAATATATCAAGAATAGCTTATTTTCTACTCTTCGTTTTTGCATTTTTAACAGTGGCATTTAAACTTTGTTTCCTAAAATTGCATCCTCTAAGTGGTTCTTACCATGCTCTAATAGACTTGATGTATTGAGATTCTTCCCTCCCCCTCTTTGCATCCTTTAGTACATTTTGTTCCTTCGGTGTAAAGAAAGCGTAGCTAAAGCATAGTAGTATCACCTCATTTTATAGGAATGGGGAAATCAAGGTGAAGAAGGTTCAGGGCTTGTGCAAGAACGAGGAAGGAGGCTTTCAAGTGTAGCTTGCAAAACTAAGAGTTTGGTGTTTTTATAGGGAAAAAGTATGATGGCTAATTGAGCAGGCTTTCTGAATTAAACTTTTTTATGCTTGATTGTACACTTAAGTATTAAATCTTTCAAGTATTATCTCTATCAGTACTGACTAATCTGCCTTTAGTTATATAATGGATAGCTGATCCAGCCTTTCCTTTTAAGAAAATCCTTGATGTATTAGACTGTTAAAGCAAATTCTAACATTTGGTGTTCATTAGTGTTGTAACCGAAACAAAAACATTTTAATGGTTGATCCCAGAGTATTTTGAAGTTAGTGTAACTTTGCTGGGAAGGTATTTAAGCTTTAGTATCAATTGCAACTAGGCCATGAGCCAAATTTCAAAGCTGTTTCTAAGTAAGACATTGAATTTTTTTGAATGTAAAAAACACATTATGTGGCACTGTGCCATGTGGCCAGGAAACAGAATGAAACAATTACAATAGGATTTGTATTGATAATTGTATTTCTAAGTGAGTAGTGTAAGATACGGTGAAGTGGGGTTTAGAATAATTCCCAAGCGTGTTCTACGATTGCTTTATTTTAGTTGTAGACCATGAAAGAGGTATTTTGAATATTTAAAAAGAAAAAGATGAGAATCGTTGTATAACAATAAAAACTTTGACCTCAACATTTAGGGAGTAGATAATTGACTTGACTAAAAGTCAAATAAGTTGTAAATTTTAAGGAAATTGCTAATTGTCATTTATCTATTAAGGTAAAACAACTTTTTATAATTCTAGTAATTAAAAAGGTAAAATATCTACTTAAAATGCCAAATCACTTGTTTTGGGCAAGCAAAAAGGTTTAGCAAAAGTAATTTTTCTTTGAAAAAATTTAAATGAATTTACTTTGCTTGTGTAAATGCCAAAGAAAGGCATAATGTTATATGTGCATTCAAAATTGATTGGACAGTTCATTTGTCATCCTAATGAAAAAAAAATTGGAAGATAGAATATTAAGATTGATAGTAAATATAATCTTACATTTGTTTAGGCATATAATCAGATAGTATTGCAAGGACTCTTAAAAAGAAACAACTCTACCTACATAATTTTATTCAAAGTTGTTTTATGTGATTTTTCAATGTAAGACAAAAATCACACCACTGTCAAATCTGTTTTTAACAAATATTTTTGAACATCATATAGATTTGCAATATAATTTAAAGTAATAAACATTTCTTAACTTAGTGCTTTATGAATCTGGATATTCAAATAATATATTTAGGCCATTCTGAAATATTTTTATTATGACTGTGAACTGATTTGTTTCTGTGGATTTGTATGTTTTGGCTCTATTTGAATCAGACAACTTAACGTTCTATTATAAGATAGTTTTGAATCCTCTTTTTTTCTCTCCTCTATGATATATAACTTTTGGGGTTGAAATATGCCTTTGAGTGTACTGTTTGGAAATATATTGTTTGATAGGTTTCAGTAATCAGAATAATTCACAGTGAATCTCAGTTTTCAGCAATTAGTCAATGCCTTTTAGGGAATATTTGCTGTTTTAAAAATAGTAGCTTAAGTAGAATGTAAGTTTTTTAAGGGTAAATTTGTAGCATGTTTTGAAAATATATTTTAGGGGCCAGCAGGTGGCATAGTGATTAAGGCACTGAACTCCTACATGGCTGACTGTGGTTTGAGTCCTGTGCCAGGCGCATGTGTGTGCATGTCCAAAATTCTGAGAGGAGAATGGAGAAGGGATTGCGGCATGGCCATCCTCCCTGGGAAGTGATTTCTCACTTTGCTTTTCTCTGTCTCTCCATTAAGTGCATGTGCCCTATAGCAAAAATCTCTTTAAAAAATTTTTTTTTAAATGTTGGTTTCCAACTAGTTTATTTTGAAAAAAATTCAATTCAGTTAAAACAGAAAATATATTTTGAGTTATTTCTGGTGTTATTATTTTTTTTCTAGGTCTCTACTAGAGAATCCTGCTTGTGAAATAAAATGTCATTAGATCCAAATACATAGTAATATTTCTATAATCTTGTTCTGTTTTTTTCTTGAACCTATTGTTTTTGAGAATGTTGCCTTCTGAGTTTTCCCAGTTATGCTAAGCCAGTCTGGTTCATAAATAGTTAAGAGCTCGTGGGTCATAAGGAAGAAAAAAATAAAATGTAGATAATTTGTTTGGTTAGCATTTTCTTTTTTTAAAAGAATTATTCTATTTAACTTTATGTTTTATTTATTTAAATTTTACCAGAGAGGGACAGAATGAGGGGGGAGAGAGAGAGGAAAAGTGAGAAAGCAAGTCGCCAGGTCCGGGATTCGAACTGCATTTGGCCAGATGGGAGTCCAGCACCCTTAACCACCGTGCCACCTCCTGGCCCCAAGGCTAGAATTTTCAGTGATGTAAACAGAGACATACTATAGCTAATAAAATGAAGGCATCATTTTTATGGTAATGAAGAAAGAATAGGTATAATGATAGAAGAGTTTAGGGACTTGTTGTTTCTGACACTTTTTATTCAAAGATGCATAAAACTAAAAATTAATAAAGTTATAAGAGGACATGATTTCTAAGTTTATTTTCTTAATTTTTTTTTTTAATTGCCAGAGGATATGTGGTCGTGACAGGAAGACACAGAGAGAGAAAAAGGAGAAGGCACTCCTTTCCAATGGGGAGTGGTCATGCTGCAGTCCGTTATCGTCCATTTCTCTAGCCTGTCAAGATTTTGGGCACATACGTACGTGTGCCTATCATGTTTTTCAGGCTGCTGGGGCCAGGATTTGAACCTCAGCCAGCCGGTGTAATCCACTTCCCTCAACCATGATGCCATGTGACCAGCCCTAAGTTCGTTTTCTAATTATGATGCCACTGTTTTATGTGTAATTTCAGATTACTTTCTAAAATAGATGCTACATGTCCATAGTACAAAATTCAAAAGGTATAGAATATTTAGTCCTTCTACGCTTGCCCTTCGGTCACCCAGTTCCCCTACCTGGAGGCAACTATTGATAACAATTTCTTTATCCTTCCAGAGATTTCATGCAAATATAAACATTTATGTAATGTGTACATATATTTTATTTAACACTTTATTTAACAATTTATCAAAATCTTAGCACACTAAAAATCTTATTGTATGTTTTTCCACTGTTTAACAACGTATCTTGGTGATTAGTCATTTAACAGATGCTTGTTGAATGTCTATTTGGTGTTCTACTAAGTCTTGGGAATACAGCAGTACATAAAACAGAAAGGTCTCTGTTCTCATAGAGCACGTGTTGAAGTGGGAAAACTGAAAATAAAGTGATTGGGGATGGGATGGAGAAGGGAGGAGGGAAGAGGGAGGGAGGGAGGGAGGGAATGAGAATGAATGTATGGGAATGAGAAATAACTAAGGTAGGGTGATGTGGTAAAAAATGATTGAGTGCTCTTTTGAACCAGGTACTTAGGGAAGAAGTTCTCTGAGGAGGTGACTTTCAGATGAGATCGGAAAAAGAAGGACCCTGCCAAGTGAAGATCAAGAAAGAGACTCCAGGGACCTAAAGAAGGTCAGAGCAAAGAGGGTTGGAGCACGGAGGGTGAAGGGGATTAAGGGGCAGGGACTAGGCCACGTAGGGCCAAGGTAGAGTTTGGATTTCATTTGAAGTGTGATGAAAGGCCATTAGGAGGTTTGCTTATTTGCTTGTTGTTTTATCAAAAGAGTGATATCCACTTTAGATATCACTCTGCTTTAGGTTTTAAAAAGATTACTCTGGGGGGAACCAGCAGTTAGCGTAATGGCTATGTCACTGGATTCCCACGTATTCGACCGCGGTTCGTGTCCTGGACCCGGTGCCTTAAAACTCACGCCGGGCGTGTGTGCGTGCGTGCCCAAGATCCCGAGAGGAGAATGGAGGAGAAGGGATTGCGGCGTGACCATCCCCCCTGGGGGGTGATTTCTCGCTTTCTGTCTCTATGTCTCTCTCTGTCTGTCTGGCGAGCGCACGCGCCCTACAGTGAAAATCTCTCCAAAAAAAAAAAAAAAAAAAAGATTACTCTGGGGACCAGCAGATGATGTAATGTTTGTGTCACTGGACTCTCACTTACTCCAGGGTGGTTTGAGTCCCAGACTGACGGTTTAAAACTCACACGGGGTTTGTGTTCATGCCCAAGACCCAAGAGGAGAATGGAGGAGAAGGGATTGTGGCGTGGCCATCCTCCCTGTATCTCTGACTCTCCTGTGAACACACATGCTCTATGGCAAAAATCTCTCTTAAAAGAAAAAAAAGATTACTCTGGCTGCTCTGAGGGCTATTCATGGTAGATGGTTCCGTGTTAGTGTGCACAGAGCTGCTTGGCAGACCTTTGTATGGATGATGGTAATTTATTGGCTTGAGTCCCTTTAATGGACCTTTAGATTGTTTCCTACTTTTGGATTTTATAAATGATATTACAGTTAAAATCCTTACATACAAATCTTATTTAAAAATTAATTTTGTAGAGTGTTGAAACATGATTACTTTTCTGTGGGAGAACTAATGATAGGATTTGGAACTTGTATTGTCAAACAAAATTTTGCAGAAGGCCAAATACCTTTACAGTGAACCATATTGGGAGAGGCATCATAAATATTGTGTGATCTCAGTAACCAGTGATGTATGAACATTTTTTTTTTTGAGACGTTTTTGCTATAGGGCACGGGCGCTCGCCAGACAAGCAGAGAGAGACAGAGAGACAGAAGGTGAGAAATCCCCCCCCCAGGGTTGATGGCCACGCCACAATCCCTTCTCCATTCTCCTCCTTGGATCTTGGGCACACATGCACACGCTCCCGGCGTGAGTTTTAAGCTACCGGGTCCGGTACGTGAATCGCAGTCGACTACATGGGAGTCCAGTGACATAGCCATTCTGCTAACTACTGGTCCCGAGGAATGAACATTTTTGAGCCTCTTAATATTAATTTAAATCAACTTTATTGAGGTATAATGTGTATAAAATTAAACGTACCTATTTTAATTGTATAGTTTCAGGAATTTTCACAGATCTATGAAGCATGTAATCACAGGCAAGATACAGAGCATTTCCATCAGCCAGAAAGTTCCCTTGTGCCCTTATATTCCTTGTCACTCTGAATTTGTTTTAAAACAAATGGCATCATGCAGCTTCTTCTGCTCAGCATAATGTTTCTGAGATTTATCCATGTTATCCTTTGTATCAGTAGTGTATCAGTAAACTTGTTTCTTTTTACTGCTGACTAGTATTGCACTATACAGCTATGCTACAATTCATTTATTCACTCACCCATTGATGGACAGAAGTTGTTTTCAGTTTTTGGCCATTATGAATATAGCTCATATGATCATTTGGGTAAGTTTTTGTATGGAAATATATTTTCCTATCTCTTGGGTTAATACTTGGCAGTGGAATTTCAGTGGAATTTGGTAAGTTTATGTTTAACTTTATGAGAAACTGCTGGATAGTTTTCAGAGTTGTATTATTATTATTTTTAAAAGAATTATTTACTTCATTCCATTTATTATTATTATTATTATTTTACTTTGACCAGTGAGAGACAGAGAGAGAAAGGGGAAGTGAGAAAGCAAGTTGCCAGGTCTGGGACTTGAACCATGGTCAGTCATGTGGGAGTCTAGTACCTTAACCACTATGCCACCTGCTTGCCCCAGAGTTGTATTATTTCACATCCCCTCCAACAATATATGAAAGTTCCAGTTGCTCTAAATCCTTGTCCACCCTTGCTGTATTGTTAATATAAATGATAGTGTTGATGTTTTTTATTTTAACCATTTCGTTGTATGCATAATGTTATGTCATCTGGTGTGAATTTGCATCTTTCCATGTGCTTATTTGCCATCCATGTAACTTCTTTTGTGTTTATTCTAGTGTTTTGTTCATTTTCAAATTGAGTTTCTTTTGAATTCTAAGAGTTCTTTATATATTCTGGGTACAAGTTCTTTGTTTACATGTATTGTGAACATTTTTTCTAGTCTATGGAATGCCTTTTCAATTTCTTGATCGTGTTTTTTGAAAGCAGACATTTTTATTTTGATGTTCAGTTTATCAGATATTCACAAATAATTTGTGCTTTTTGTACCTTATCCATCCTGAAGTCTTGAAGATTTTCTCCTAGATGTTCTTCTAGAAATTTCATATTTTTAAAAATTTTTTACAGGTTGATCTATAATCCCTTTCAAGTTAATTTTTATGTATGTTGAGTATTTCTTTCTTTTTTTAAATTTTTTTCCATGGGACCAGCAGTTAGCGTAATGGTTATGTAGCTGGACTCCCATGTAGTGGCTTAAACTCACGCCAGGCGCATGTGCGTTCGTGCCCAAGATCCCGAGAGGAGAATGGAGGAGAAAGGATTGCGGTGTGGCCATCCCCCCTGGGGGGTGATTTCTTGATTTCTAGCTCTCTGTCTGTCTGGTGAACGCACGCGCTATATAGCAAAAATCTCTTAAAAATTTTTTTTTTCCATATGTAGTCAGTACAAATTCATTGAAAATGTTTATGTGTTGGATCAGCAAGTGGTGTGATAATTGGGCACTGGTCTCCCACATGGCTGACCACAATTTGCTTTCTCACTTTCTCTCTCTGCCTCCCCCTCCCCCAGCCCCTATGGGTGTTCATGCCCTATGGCAAATTAAAATAAATTAATTAATTAAATTAAAAATAAAGAAAATGTTTGTGTGAGGAGACCTTTGTGACAGTGTGGGGGTTGCAGGTGTAAAGACAGAGAATGAGTTGATAATATCTGAAGTAGGACAGCAGCCCATGTACTTGGAGAGAGCAGGAAAGAGGACAGACTTGATGGCGTTTGCAAAAAGAGAATGAGTTGGTTGGGGAATTGGGTGGGACATGGAAGTACAAGGAAAGATGAGGCTGAGGTTTACGTTCGAGAAAGTAGCATGGTCTGTGACCAGGAATGGAACACAGGACAAGGAGATTTATGATGAGTGGAGAAGGATTCCATGTTCAAACTGCTGTGTTTGTGTGAGAACAAGATCCTCGGTCCTTGTCTACCTCCATACATGTTGGGACATAGCCAGATTTTTAGAGAAAACTTTTTTTAACTCTGTGGCCTGTTTTCTGTGTTGTTACATAGTATCGCTTAGAATTTTTGCAGCTTTACAGTTTCAAGTTTTGTAGTAAAGCTACTATGTCTACGATATAAAAAATGTAGTTTTAGGAATAAATGATGCCACCAAGGTGGCTTTCAGTAAATCCCTCCCCTATTTCCAGTGCAGCGTGACCTTTAGTAAGGACATTTCTTTAGTCCTTGTCTAGATATATATAGCCATCTCTTATCATTCTTACACTTTCTGTCCTAGCCCTGTACTCAAGTCATTTTGATAAAGAGTCCTTGTCATTTTTAGCGGAGAATGGTGTTGAGAAACAAAGATCTGAACACTAATTGTGCTCATTGCTTTGAGGACATCATGGCTTTTAGATCTTCCCAGCTGACAGAGCGTGGAAATTGTAATTAACACATACATAAATGTGTGTGTACATATACACACAGGTATATGCATAGTGCATATGTATCTGTTTATTTCTGCGTTTATCCATCTATGTAACTATTAATAACTCTAAACCAGCAAGTGGTGTAATGGTTATGTCTCTGGACTCTTTCTGGCTTACTGCGGTTTGAGTCCCAAATCTGGTTGAAATTCATGCCTGGTGCATGTGCATGTGTGCCCACAATCCCAAGAGGAGAATGGAGCAGAGGGGATTGTGGCATGGCCATCTCCCTTGAGGGAGTGATTTCTTGCTTTCTGTCTGTCTCTCCGGCCAGCACGTGCACCTTATAGCAAAAATCTCTCTTTCTAAAACAACAAAAACCTCTAAGTCCATACCTATACCAGTTCTAATCCAGTATGGTAGAATTTTTTTTCCTAGCCTTTTTTTCTTTCTGTGCTTATAATTCCTTTCTCTTTTAGTGAGAAATCTAGCTCTTAGTAAGCTTAACAAACATACCTATTTGCTTAATTCCCTTGTATATGACAAATCTCCTGACTTCAGTAAATCTCCTGGCTTCAGTTGGTCAGATTTTTGCTCCAGTGTATGCCTGTCCTCCTTCCCAACTGCATGGCCAGCACAGAGGAAAGGAGAACAGTGAAAGGGACCGCCAGCTGGCGGGTGGCTAAGGTGCTGACTCCCACATGGCCGAAATGATTCAGGTCCCAGACCTGGTGGATTGCTTTCTCATTTTCCCTCTCTCTAGTCAAATTAATAAATAAATAAATTAAATTAATTAAATAACTCTTTAAAAAAATAAGGAAGGGAGAGGGAGGGAGATCCCTCTGATGAATTAACAGACTCGTCCTTTGGTTAAAAAGATCAGAGGGAAGGAAGGAGTTATATAGAATTTTAGACCTTTTGAAGAGTCAGCTTTTTATGATTTCTGGCTTGGTTACAAGCAAAGGTCATAAAAATACCCTTTTGTAGTACTTTTCTGTTTGTTTGTTTGTTTTTGTTTGTTTGTTTGTGGTCAGAGAGTGAAGGTGCTCACCAAAAAGACAGGGAGAGGGAAAAAGCACCTCCCAATTGAG